CCGAACTCCCAGAGCGACCACGGATCCACCCCAGCCAGCACAAAATAGGAGTAGAGCTCGGGGATCTTCTGCAGCCTGTAGAACATCACTGGCACGTCCCCCTGGAAGGTCAGGAACTGCTGGTCCCCCAGGACGTCGGGCCCGAGGTCGATCTCCGCGAGAGCTGCTGGCGAGCCGAGCGGCACCCAGGGCGGGTCCTTGAAATGTAGGTTGACCCGCCGAGCGTCCCAGACGAGGCGGGACACCACTTCCCGCCCCGACTTCGTGCGGGCCACCTTCTTGACCACGGTGAACACCGACAGCTTCTCCCGCACGTCGTCCACGTACGTCAGCATGTTCGACTCCCACATCTTCAGCGCGAGCTCGAGCCGGGCGACCCCCTGCTTGAGCTCCGGCGCCTCGTACGGTTTGATCTTGTAATAAGCTTGCATGTCGATCTCGCCCTCCGACTTCAACATCAAACGTCCAGGCTCGTCGAGGTAGGCCTTCGCCGTCACAGCCAGCTTCTTCACGCTGACCCCTCGTAGCCCTTTCGGAGGCAGGTCGACCTCCTCGACCCGCAGCGGGCATAGAGCACCCCTCTGCAGGCGATCCTCCTCCTTCTTCTCCGAGGCAGAGCCGCTCCCATAGCCAACTGGAAGCTTCTCGCCAAAGCGGCGCAAAACCGCTCTGCCGTCGTCGATGGATCCCCAGGTCGCCCTCCGACTCTGCTCGTTCCAAATCCTCCTGACGATCTCCTTCTGCAAGAACGAGGCCTGGTTCCAGGGGCACTCCGACGCCACCTTGGTCCAGTCCTTCAGCTCCTTGAGGTGGCCCCGGCTCAGACTCCGGAGAGCCGCAACGGTCCGACATGACCTCAACCACGTCACCCGCAGCTCGCTCTCGCTCATCTCCCCGCCACTGGGCCCGCCCCAACTCGCTGGCACAAACGGCAACGTCCCCAACAGATCTCGATGCGCCCGAGGCCGCCCCGAGCTGGGCACGAGGGGCTCCCCGATCTGGTCCCCACCTGACATCTGAACGACGAACTGGTGCGCGACCAGGATGAGAGGGCAAGTACAAAAAAGCCCTCACGTCCTCCGAGTTGAAAAAGTAGAGCACCGACGCCCGCTCGCGGTAGCTCTCTGGGGCGGACAACGCTGAGCCCCCGTTGCCGAGGGAACGCGTAGGGCTGCCAGCCACAGACGATGAAGAGAAGCACCTACTCCCCCAGGTAGAAAGGTCGATGAGCACCGCGAAGAGGATCCCGACAAGCAGAGCCCTCGACCGGTGCACGGGTGGTATTCCGCCTTTGAACCGCTCCCCCACCCAGGAACGGCTAGACCTTCACTCGTCCTTCGCGGCCGACTCCGAGACTGACCCTAAGTGCTTCTGGAAGAGCGCCTTCCTCTTGAGCTTCTCGGTCACCTCGTCGTCAGCCGCATCGATATCGTTCTCGGAACGATCAAGGCGGAAGTACTGCTCGGCCAATACCCAATCCACCTTGCTCCGCCACTTGGCCCCCGTCTGGTTCTTCGGGCGCAACCAGTCCTCGCGCCGCTGGACCTTGTCGAACGCCTTCATCAAGCTGTAGATGCGGAGGCACACCAGCTCCGCCGCCCTCGAGTTGATCACCGTGCTCGGGGGGTCCGTCTCCAGCATTCGGTCCAGCACCATGCCCATGACAGTGACCTCCGCGGCGGCGTTGCAACTCTCGAGCTCCTTGCTGCGCAGCCACTCGCGCAGCTCAGCCTGCGCCGTCCTCCCGCCTCGGTAGAGGCGAGTGAGGACCTCCGGCGCCACACGCGTGCGGATCTCCCCCACGCGCCCGAGGTCCGCCTTGTCGTCGAAGCCCTTCAGCGCCTGGATCATCGTCTCGCGGGGGTTGCGGGACTCCATCTCCAGCTCGTCGATGCGAATCTTCAGCGGAGTGCGTGCCGAGCCGTCCGAAGCACCGCTCGAGGACCGGTCCCCGACAAGCTCGAAGCCGCCCCCCGAGGAAGGTGAAGGTGACGGGGCCGAAGATCCGCTTCCCCTCGTCGCCCGCGAGCTGTCCATCTCGACTATCGTCTCGTGCTCCCTGAGCTTTCGCAACAGCGCATCGATCTGCCCCTTCGATGGTTCCACGAACTCGTCGTCCCGCCGTGCGTCCGCTGTGTCCGAGCGTGTCGACCGCGATGAGCGGGGCGTCCCGGGACGGTCCTCAGCCTCGAAGCGCACCGCAGGAGCAGTCGCCTTGAGCTCGCGAATCTGGTCGGCCAGCTGCGCCAGCTGCTCCTGTCCCGTCAAGATGGTGCGCAGCAGGTCCGTGGACGAGGGCTCCTCACCTGAGTCGGTATCCGAAGCGGATGTGCCCTTTGCCCTCATGTCCCCGTCCTCGCTGTCCGAACCGTCATAGTCCGAGCCCGTGTCCGAGGCACCCGTGTTGTAGTAGATGGCCCAGATGACCAGAGCGCCGATCCCCAAGGTGATCAAGTAGAAGTCCAGCTCGCCGCTCTCCCGCATCTCGCCCACGCTGTCCTTGATGTCCCCGAGGTAGTCGAGCCACTCTCGTCCCTCTTGGTACGCATGATAGGCGGCTCGCGCCCACTCATACAATCCAAGGTAGTGCCACACACGCCAGCAGATGACGCCCGTCGCGGCCAAGGGCCCCCAGCTCCGCCGAGCCCAGGCCCACAGCCCCGCCGTCGTCACAGCTTCCATCGCACTGAACTTCGGGAGGAGCGAGAGCCGCTTGCGACCACCCTTCTTGACACCGACCTTCTTCGGGCCCTCCTTCGTGACGCCATTCATCCTGTCGATGAGTCGAGCGCTAGCTTGTTCGGCTTCTTGCTTGTCATGAGCGCTCAACCCTTTGTGATCTGTGTAGACCACTCCCGTCTTCGCTCGAGTCGACGCGTGGATCTTATCCTTCGGATTGATCAACTGCACCCGCCCCACAGGGTCCAGAGCCGTCCACTCGCCAGCCTTGCCGGGAGCCCGCTCCAGAAGCAGCATCACCACGCCTGTCGGCCCGTCCTTGGCCGTCCGCCAGTAGATCCGGTTCCACTTCTTGAAGGCCATCGTGTACCACTGCGAGCTCCCTCGATCTGGATGCCAAGGGAAGCTCTCCACCCGTTCGTGCTCGACCTTGAGCTCCGCGACCTCCTCGACGTCAGCGCCCTCCTCGAGCACCAGTCGGTCCTGGAGGCCCAGGAGCAGACACACCACCCAGAAGAACGTGGTGCCCCGCCGCAACGCCGTCCTGGCGCCAGGGGCACCGCCCCGCGGCCGAAGGCCGCGCACGTGCGCCAGCTGGGCGCAGCCGCGCCCCAACGCCGATGGCGGCGATGGGCGCTCACGGGCCCTCGGGGCGAGGCGCGGGCGCTGGCCACGAGCCTCGAAACCTTCGAGCCCAAAAAGCTACAAGCCAAGATCGTAAACGGAGACTAAACGTGACGATCAAGAGAGGAGGAGGAGAGGAAGCGGCCACCCCATAAATACACCCCTATAAAATCGAGCCCGAGAAAGAATGTTTGAAAACTCATAGGAGCGCGCGCCCGGGGAGCCCCCATCACCCTCTGCAGGAGCTGAGTCCCCCTGAAGAGGAAGCCTCGCTATGAACTTACATGTTCCACGGGGTTCTGCGTATGGGTGAGTCTGGCAATGATGGCAGAGGCGTTGTCGAGTATGAATATGAGTGGGCGCGGGCATGGGAAGCTGGGTGACCCCGAAAGCGTGACTCAACCGGATGTGGATTAAAGAGCTTGGGACCGATCAAGAGTAAGGGTGCGAATGGACCTTTCTATGACTGAACTTGAACTCTACATGAGCGTGAACACGGGCACCTTGGTAGGAGTCTGACCGGAAACGTGAGCCGGGGACGCGAGATGACGACCGAGGGGACACTGGGGAAACCAAAAGGTTCCGATACCGCTACTCCCTGGACCTCTCCTGGGTGCGTTCTGGCCAGGACTTCGAGGCGAATCTGGCGGTGGCGACGAGGGCCGCCCAGGAGTCACAGAAAAGGGAAAACGGGCGGGGGGGTCGATTGAGCAGGGACCGACCGCCCCGGCACTCCTATAGTCCCACCACGAAATGCTCTTAGAACCCAAAAATGTTCTAATAACAAAAACCATGCTCTTAGAACATAAATCCGACGTGTTAAAACGAGACAGTCTCGACCAGAACTGTTCTAAGAGCATTCCGTGGAAACCACCGCAGGTTCTCAGAACATTGTCTTGTAGGGCCATAGGCGAGCCAGGACGCTTCGCCACTGCCTGAGTCGAGGTATGGGTACCTTTTCCTCCTCTGAGGAACGGGCGAACGTCGCGCACGCCCCCGCAGCCTCGTCTCGGGCATGGACAGACCTCATTCTAGTAAAACCTGGTTTAGTGAAAACGACCTCGGGCCCAAACCTGGCGGGCGCAGGCCTGGAAAATCACGGCCACGGCGCCCTCTCGAGAACCGAAAACGGACAATCCACTAATCGACGCGTCACTGTTTTTTTCTTTATGCATGTCGTTGCATGCTGACTCTCCCCAACCGCCGCTGCACCAGGGCGCGCTGCGCACCACTTCTCTTCGGAGGCGCCCCGCGCGCCCCTTGCCTCAAGCAAACGAGTAGCAGAAACCACTCATGCTGCCTGTCCCTGGTCTGTCATACATGATTTTCCGACATTCTTCTGTCAAAGCACCAGGGATGATTCTAACGCATCGCCTTAGACATCAAAGCTGACTGCGCAGAGGCTGACCGACTCTGGCGCACCTGCCTTGGGAGGATGAGGAGGAAAAGTGGTGGAGGAGGAGAAGGAGAGGAGGAGGAGGAGGAGGAGGGAGAAGAGGTGAGGAAACGTGGGGTCGCGTCTGGTTCAAAACGGGCACCCAACGCCAAAATATGGCCAGGGATGCCAGGGAATCGTGAGTTCTGGCCGATCATTCGAATATGGCCGTTGAAACAAAAACATATTTGCGAACTCAAACTCATCATCGATAGAAGGCGGCCCTCCTCCTCCTCCCCCCCCCACTCCACCTCCCCCTCCTCCACCTCCTCCCTCTGCTCGCGACACTTACTACAGAGAGGCACTCAATTCGACAGGTCCCGTTGTCCTGGCGAAGACCGTGCGCCCTGGCTGCTGGGCCCACCACTGAGCGTACTGCCACGTTGCCTCGGTCTTCAACGCCGCCGTGAAGCTCCATAACCCACCTGTGATGACCTCGTTCGACGCGTTCTCCTCTTGGAGCAAGCCGTCGAGCGTCTGATTGGTTTGCTGCTCTTGCACCACCGTGCATCTGGCGCTGTCCTCGAGCGTGCCGGGGTCACAGTTGAGAATCTGCGCGTAGGTAAGAGTCTGCCACAAGCCTCTCTTGGTCAATGGGTCGTGAACATAATACTTACCATCGCCCGCGCACCCGCCAATCGTCAGAACGTGGCCGCCACCGCCGAGCCAGAAGACGGCGAAAGCGATTGGGTACCCCATATTCACGGCTGCGTCGAGGGCCTCCTGCTCCAAGGGCCACCCATCGAAGCCGATGTAGTCTTGCTGCGACAAGAACAAGATGGCTTCGATGATATCATCCTGGCCAGCCGCAGCGTTGTTCCCGTAACAATCCTCGTTGGAGGCACCACAACAATAAGCGGGATGGAACCGGCTAAACTTGTTGCCAACCGCTCGGCAAGACATGGCTTTGCAATTGTCCTGGTCCGCTTTTTCCTGCGTCGGCTGGAAGAAGCCCGCAATCACAGCGGCGGTCGTGGCCCAGCACCACTCGGGTGCCAACTGAGAACACGTGGCGATACTCATCGTAGAATTTGCCGTGCACGCTCCGTTGTAGCTAGCCCCTCCCCTGTCTCGGTCTGCCGCAAGATGCTCTGCGAGGTTTGCCAGCAACCCCGCGTTTGTGTCGTTCGGCGTCGCGTCCACGACTGCGCTGCCGTTCACTACGCGGTCAGCCTTTTCTGGGGTCTGCTCGTGGGCGTTCCGGCTGCTACTCTGCAGCAGTCCGAATCCGTCGTCTTCCTCCTCCAGCGTGCACCCGATCGCTCGTGGCGTCTCTGCGGCAGCACTCGCCAGGAGCAGTAAGACGACTGACACGCACGTCATGCGAGGTCGAGGAAGAAGGGCTGCCTCTTCGGATGCGGCTCGAGAAAACGATCGCTTGACAACAGACCTAGTCGGAGTCTGGGGTCCAACCGACTTGAGCCAAAATGGCTACGGATAATCGACGTGTCACTGTTGCGGGTTCTGTCCACCTCCGATATAGGCGAGTCAGGACGCTTCGCCACTGCTTGAGTCGAGGTATGGGTACCTCTTCCTCCTCTGAGGAACGGGCGAACGTCGCGCACGCCCCCGCAGCCTCGTCTCGGGCATGGACAGACCTCCCTTTAGAAAACGTGGTTTAGTGAAAACGACCTCGGGCCCAAACCTGGCGGGCGCAAGCCTGGAAAATCACGGCCACGGCGCCCTCTCGAGAACCGAAAACGGACAATCCACTAATCGACGTGTCACTGTTGGGGGTTCTGTCCACCTCCGATATAGGCGAGCCAGGACGCTTCGCCACTGCTCGAGTCGAGGCATGGGCACCTTTTCCTCCCCTGAGGAACGGGCGAACGCCACGCACGCCCCCGCAGCCTCGTCGCCTCCCGGCGTGCTGCTTGTGCTGCTCCAACATGGGCCCGCGGACGGCACCGCGGGCCCGCGGGGAGCTCACGCGCGACGCCGCCGCCGCCGCGGAGCGGGCTGGGCGCGCCTGGGACCGCGGCCGCGCAGCCTCTCTGACGACCTACCAGACACGAGTTGACCCGAGTTTCGGGTTTGGGGGGGGTACGGACACCGTGTGTTTTTTCGATGTTCCCCGATCCCCCCCAAAACAAGGCTAGGATCGGGATAAATCGCTCCAGAGCGTTCCGGAGCGCTCTCAGAGCGTTCCGGAACGCTCTGGAGCGGCCGCGGCGCCCAATACATCCTCCAAACCCGCCGATTCTCAGAGATTTCGAGTTATCCCGATCCGATTTTGTTCCGATCTTCGCGTCGTTTTACCCACCACTGGAAATGGAGGGCAAATTGAAGCCTTCGGGTTGGGTTGGGGTGGTCTGGTTGGTGGTGATTCTCGGACCCAGACCCCAATACAGTGGAGGCCGGCTCACAAGAAACCCTCCACAAGAAACCCAACCCTGAGACCCCAGGACGTCCACGGATCCCTGGTGTGGGAGCGTCACGCTTTCCACAGCAAGATCGTCGAGACCCAAGAAGAAACCCAGGGCACCCTGGAGGCAAGCATTATGTTGCTCCCATCGTACTTAAGGACCACGTCCCAAAAATAATTTCGAACACCTGGAAAAGTGTCGAAACAGTGCCGAAACAGTGTCGGACGGATGTCTCCCAGGGCCCGACGTGTGAAAACTCTCGAGTTTCGGTATCTCTGTGGTGCTCGAAATTTTGTCTGGTGATCAAGGCTAAAGTAGGTTGGAACATCATGAGGCAAGCAAAAAGTTTCTCGGCATGGGCCTCCACTGTAGTTCCACCCGTGCACTCTTCGAAGTGGTCCCGGGGCGGCCGCGCGCTCCTGCTCCAGGGCGACCCAGACGGGCCACGGGGGACGCCCAGGCCAGGCCAGGACCGCCCCAGAAGCCTCCAGGGGTGCCCGAAGACGGGCCAACGAGGGCCCGAACGCTGCCCCAGGCGTCTCAAGATGGACCCCAAGGAGGCCTCCCCAGACGCGCCACGAGCCCCCCCCACCCCCCAAACAAAAAACAGGGTAGCCCTCCCAAAGGGCCCCTCCCCCCCCCCGCAGAACCCACCCTGACCTTCCCACCCCCTCCCCTAGCTCTCCCTTCCCGAAGCGCTCCGCCTGCCCCACGGACTCTCACAGGCGGACAAACACTCGTCTATCTTCACCGGCCCCGAGAACTTCCTCAAGAGATCGGCGGTGCGACCGACGGCGGCGGACAGGAAGGGATTAGGTACCGTCTTGTCGCGCCAAGCGCACGAGAAACCTTACTCTTAGGTCGGGCATGTCCTCCTACAGGCGGATCCTGGAAGAAACACCCCAAAAAACCAAAACAATCTATTCCAAAATAATCAACTGCAGTCGAAAAATCGTCCCGAATTAACTTTTTGGGGGGGCTATTTTTGAATGTTTCTCCTGCAGAGGGACACGCCGGACTTACCGTTAAAGTTATACAGGAACCGCCAGTCGGTGACCAGTATCCCACGGAAACAGTCCTGGCCCCCGCGGGGGGACGCGGCAGGTGCTCACCATGGAGGGGGAGGGGAGGGGGAGGCCGGCGAGAAGGATGGGGACGACGGCGAAGATAAGGAAGAGAGAGGAGAAGGAGGTGGAGGAGAAGAGAGGAGAGGGGAACAGGAGAGAGGAGAGAGGTGGAGAATGAGGAGCAGGAGGAGGAGATGGAGGAAAGGAGATGAGAGGAGGGGGAGGAGGAGGAGGAGGAGCAGGAGGAGGAGGAGGAGTAGGAGGAGAAGAAGAAGGAGAAGAGAAAGAGTAGAGGGAGGAGGAGGACAAAAAAGGAGAGAGAAGAAAGGACGAGAAGGAAAAAGACGAGGAGGAGGAGGGAGGACAAGGAACGGGATAAGTAGAAGAGAGATGAGCACAGAGGAGAACGAGGAGAGAAAGGAGGAGGGTAGACGAACGAGGAGGTCAAGTGCTGCCGCGGCTGCTCTTCCTGGTGGTCGAAGCAAGGAAACAGCGCTGACATTGAAACACGTACGACCCCCCTCCCTGGCGCGCGGAGCGCGCCAGGAGCGGCGCCCGACGCGCCGCCGGGGGGCCCAGCGCGGATCCAAGGAACCTGCGCGGAGCGTCAAAAAGTGTATGTTGATGGCGCTTTTTCTTTTATTCATTTAGGACGAGAATGACGTCATGATGCGACTGGCTCAGAAACCGTCTCAGGAATTTTCTGGAGTATACCTGGCAACCTTCGTCTTGGGAGCCCGCGCGAATGAACTCTTCAATGATCGGATCTTCTCTAGGCAAGCGCGCTCCACTGCTCGCAGAGTAACTACTCGCTAATGGCCCGGATCCGCCATGGGGGATCTGCAATACATTACGTCGAGGCAGACATGTGCTTTTCGGACGCTTGCGAGTAGGCACCTTGAGAGTAGTGGAACGCGCTCGGTGACTATCGCCTTCATGACTTCATTTCCAGGCAACCACATGCGAGCCCTACCCCTGCCGATGAACATTCAGAGAGAAGCTGGCGGGAACTCAGAAATGGAAGAATGCGTGCAGCCGAGAGAGCCCCAGCGGGGGCTCCGATGCCCCCCGAGCGTTGACTGGACCCCCAGGGGTAGGGCTCGCAAGTGGTCGCAGATCCACTTCTCCTCTGGTCGTTGGCTCGTGTCTCCTCCTCCTCCTTCTCGTCCTCCTCCTCGTCGGAGACTTGCATCTGCGGACTGTCTCCTCCGAAGAGCGAAGCCCACGACGCGCGCCACCTCCTCGTCCTCTCCCCATCTGCACTCGGCTTGAATGAGGGGCGGGAGCGGGCGCGCGTACACACCTGGGCAGCACATCATCCAGGAGGGGGGTGCGTCCCCTCATGAGAGGGAGACCAACGGAAGGGCGACGCGAGGAAGAGCAACAGGAGGACAAGAGAGGAAGGGAAGCAGGGGGAGGGGGCGGAGGGACGAATCTCCTCCTCCTCCTCCTCCTCCGCCTCCTCCTCCTCCTCCTCCTCCTCCTGCTCCCCCACCGCCTCCTCCTCCCTGCCATCGCTCGGACGGACGTCCATTCCCAGCGCAGCTTTGGTCGCTCTCGCGCGTGCTGTTTCGTGGTTCGATGATCCAGGATGCTCCTCGATGGCCCTCGCCGAGCAAAAATGCACGCGCCCGAGCGACGCCAAGCCTCCGGCATCGGCATCGAGGAAGGGCTTGAGCAGGGACCGACGGTGCCGGCATTCCTATAGGCCTACCACGACATGTGCGCAGAACCCAAAATGGTTTAAACAAAGAAGAGCAACGCTCTTAGAACATACACCCGATGCGTGGAAAAAAAAACAACACAGCCCCAGCCAGAAATGATCTTAGAACAGTTCGAGCAGACCACAAAAGTTCTTAGAACAATTCTGTGGTGGGCCCATAGGAGAAACAGGATGGACGGTTCCCCATGGAGCCGTAGGCGACCCGAGGAGGGAAGGGCGACGAGGTAGAGAAAGAGGAGGGGGAGGAGGAGATGGAGGAGGAGGAGGAGGAGGAGGAGGAGGAGAAGGGAGGGAGGAGGAGGAGGAGGAGGAGGAGGAGGAGGAGGAGGGAGGGGGAGGAGGAGGAGGAGGAGGAGGAGGGGGGGAGGAGGAGGAGGAGGAGGAGGAGGAGGAGGAGGAGGGAGGAGGAGGAGGAGGGAGGAGGAGGAGGAGGACGAGGAGGAGGAGGGGATCGGAGAACCCCCCCACCGGCATCGGCATCGAGAGGGGTGGAGGGCGGCGGTCCCGGTCGAGGCAGCCGCCCAGCCTCCTCGCACCGCACCCGCGCGGGGCGCCTGCAGGGGCGCCTGCCGTCGACGCCTCCTCCTCCTCCTTCCTCCTTCCTCCTCCTCCTCCTCCTCCTCCTCCTTCCTCCTCCCTCCTCCTCTCCTCCTGCTCCTCCCCCTTCTCCTCCTCCACCGCCTCCTCCGCCTCTTCGTCCTCCTCATCCTCCTCCTCTTCCTCCTCCTCCTCCACGTGCTCCTCCTCCTGCTCGTCCTCCTCCACCTCCTCCTCCTCTTCCTCTTCCCTCGTCCTCATCCTCCTCCTCCTCATCCTCCTCCGCCCTCCTCCTCCTCCTCGTCCTCCTCCTCCTCCTCCTCTTCCTCCCCCTCCCGGGTTTGGAGTTTGGGCATAGGCGGTGGGGCGGCTCAAGGCCGCTGTGCAATTAGCTCCTAGTGCACATGTTCAGCGACCGTTCGCACGAGCCCCCCTGGCGGTGCGAGCCTTGTGAGCTCCTCTGGAGCATTCATACACGCTCTCTGAAGAGCATGAGTGAAAGCAGAAACATGTGCAGTACAAGTCGTGTTCCTCCTGCAGGTACAGGTGGAATGACAAGAACAACGATTGGTGCTACCAATGCGCCGCTCCGCTGGTCGACTTCCTCGCCTTGGAGCGCGAGCCCAAAAGGCAAGTGGCTGTTCGGCACCCCGCCCTTCTCGATTGAGGGCTCGCCGTTCAAGGAGCAGGGCCATCCGCAAAATGCAGGTGCGGCGGCCTCCCACGGGACGTTCTTCGGCGGCGAGGGCAAGGGCATAGATGGCGGCAAGGGGGGCAAGGGCAAGACGACAGGTCCTGGGCCCCCACCGCCGCCCAAGGCGTCGGGGGTTCCGCCTTCGACTGGATACGTCTACTCCAGAGTGCCGCAGATGGGATGGGTCGCCCACCCACCGCCAGAACCCGATGTTCCGGCTCGCCTGCGCTCGAAGCTCGGCGAGAGCGCAGAGCACGTTGG